AAAGGCTCTAGTCTGCGCAGAGATGATAGTGCGAGTTCTTCATTGATTGTTGCAGGTGACAGGAAAATGGCAGGGATTAGTTATAATACCATAGATTGCTGTGACCAGCACCATGCTTTCCTCAAGCTTCCTTGCAGAACGGTTGGCAAGGGGTTTGCAATTCCTTCTTCTGTGACCATATGTCAAAGCCTATGACCCATTTCTTGACCCAGTCTGCCCTGGGATCAGAAGTCAGGCTCTTTTTCTTTCTAAGGGTTGGATGATGCTTGCACAATATTAAAATAAATATAAATACACTGGTTAATCAAATTATCCACATGCCTTGGAACACATGCCATCATCCCTTGTGCATGACTTTTTAGTATTCATATATTATTTGTATGATGTTAACATCTAGAAGCCCTAGCCAAGGACTAGGACCCCATTATGTTAGGCACGATTCTAATACAGAACAGAAGGCTGCAGCAAGAGCTTATGTTCTGATAGGGGAGAAAAAGGAGGGACTTGTGGGATGGGAAGGGAAGGCGAGGTGAGGGAAGATGCAGGTAGATTACTGATAAACCTGGGAAGCTGAGTAACACATACCACCTCCTCAGCCGCCCTGGAACCTACATGACACTTATCAAAAGCTCAGGTTTTTCTTCCAGAAGAGAAGAGACCAGAGCTTTTCCTGTGGGGTGACTTGGGGTCTGGGGAGGCACGGTGCGGCTGTGGGGAAGGGGCTCTTGTTGGCCCAGAGCTCCTCTGGCTGTGGTGGCAGGGGCTGGCTCAGGGATCCAGCTGGCCTGGGACTCCTCCAGCTGCAGAGTTGGGGGGCTCGAGGCTTCTGACCGGGGGGGTGTGCAGGCGGAAAGGGTGGAGCTGGGGGCTAGCCTCCCCAAAGGGGAGGCTCCACCCATCCCAACTCCCATTGACTCCAAGCGAGAGCTAGACTGAGGATCCCTGAGGAGGCATAAGTCACCATAAAGAATGTAGTTCACTTGTTTCATGGGTGTGTTGGCTTTGTCGGGCTGGCACTAGAAGCCCTTAGGTTTATTCTTATTATTGTAACATTCAGAGGCCCAGTCAGGCCTCTTTGTGCTTCTTTTGTCACTACAGTCAGCATATCGAAGGCTTATGGATATAGGGAGTAGATGAGATGGGTAAGAAGTTGCCTTCTGGACACTTAAAACTGTCATCCCTAACTAAAGCTAACCTTGAGAGCTTACATCCCCTTCTAGGCTCTGCTTTCATTGTTCCTGCTTCATGGAAATAGAAAATGACTTGCCCAGACCTTCCCACAACCCAAACACTTCCCAAAGGAGGCCACCTGGCCATACAAGAAACCTAGCTTTGATTTCCAATCTTAACTTATCATTTCTTGGGCCAGCCATAGCTGGAAATTCTCTGCATTGCAGGGGTGTGGTTACAGCTGGAGTCTTTCACTCCCTTGGCAAAACAGTGCTCATTCCCTAGGGAGAAAGTGTCCAGTGTCACTCTGTAGTGACCTTTCGGACCAATTTAAGGGACGTTCACTTTTGTAAACTAATTTCTAAAATTGCCATTTCTGATAGCTCGCTCTTGAAACAGTTCATAGCATTTTTTTAAAAAAATTGCTTTTATAACTAGTTTTATGATGGCTTTTTTCCGTCTCGATGATGATTTTCTAAAAGAGATGCTCTAATTCAGACAGGAATTATTTTGGGAGTTCTATAGCTTGGGTTATGCAGGAGGTCAGACTAGGTGATAGTGGGCTTTTCTACTATTGGAATCTGAATCTATAAGGGTTGCTCAGCAAGGGAGAAGCTGCCTAACTGACCATAGAAGGGAAATAATGACCATTCCTCTGCACATGGTGCTGTCAAATGCCCAAAGTAAACCAAAGAAAAGCATAGAAACTTTTTCCCAATAACTGGATTTTAGGAATCAAAGGCCCCAGTCCGGAAAACACACACAATCAACTCTTAGCATGTGAGCAGGCACGTTAAACTCAAAGGATTGCTCACTTGTTTGAAGCTGAGCATGTATACAAGTGTTTGCAGGTTATGTGCTTGAGTGTGCAGTTTGCTGTAATTTGCAAAATGGTATGCTGTTGGGGGGGGGGGAGCTTTGCTCTATTTTTTTTATTTTCTAGAGCTGCTCAGGCTAGTCAGAAATAGTGTTCATTCAACTAATTTAGCCTGCTTTTCTACATGGAAATTATCTGTGAACTGACTGATTTTTAGGAGTACATTTATTTGTGATGGCTTGACCTTTTTTCATTCTTTGGTATGAAAATATGCCCACAGGTGGTGGTTGGTCAGAAATGCAGGTTCGAATGCTTGTCATCGGTACTGGGGCCTGAAGGCAAGCGTGTGTAATTGTTCACTGTGTAACCCAGGTGTGACCAGGTGCCTGGGATGGACCACATTAAGAATGCCACACTTGGGGCAGACTACAAGAAACAGGGCAAACAATCCCCAAAACTGGTGGTTTATTTACACTTAGTTACCAAGCCAGTAACAAAAGAGCTTCTGCAGTACCACACTGGTTAACCAGAAGCCAAATACAGTCCCCCTTGAGGCATTCCAGTCCTTGGCTCTCATCCAGATGAACAAGTCTAATATAGTGAGAGGTTACTGAAAACCCAATTCACCATATGTAAGGTTCTTACTAATCCCAAAGGATCAGACACTTATCTCCAGGTCAATATATAGCTCAGACCTTATCCAAATACCTTGCTTTGTCAGCCAATCTTTAATAAACTAAGTAAAGATTTATTAAAAAAATAAGAATTATAAATAGTTAATGTATCATGCATACAAATGATTGCAAAGTCCTTATATCAGATTTGTAGCAGTGATGGAATAGACTGCTGGCTTGCAAAAGCCTCTCTGGTATCTTCCAAAAGATTGGTCCATAGTTCAAGATGCTCCTTTTTGTTGTAAATTCACAGTCAGGAGAATTAGAGCAGGAAAGAAGCAAAATGGAGATGTATTAGATGTCTTTTATACCCTCTGCCATGTGCATGGAAATGTACTGTCCCAAACAAAGCCCATAGCCTCTTTGTATGGAAAGTTACTGGCCCAGATGGAGTCTTAGGTCACATGAGAAAATCACGTGCCACTACATGTTTTGCTGAATCAGAGGGGGAAGTCATTGACTCCTCACTGTCTGAGGCACCCGCAGGAAGGGCCTACTGGGCAGGATAAGATTCTTCAAAGGCCCACTGTAAGAGCTGTGTGTCCTTAATGGGTCATCAACACACAGCTGCCTAGCCCTGATGTAAATCTATCTGGGGTGGGGTGTCACCCTGGCATACAATGCAGGTTTGAGATGCAGATGCATAGCCAATATTCATAACTTCAGATACAAAGATGATACATGCATATAAACAGGATAATCATACTTAGCAATTCATAACTTTTCTGTTAAGAATATTAGAATCGTAGAATATCAGTGTTGGACGGGACCTCAGGAGGTCATCTAGTCCAACCCCCTGCTCAAAGCAGGACCAATCCCCAACTAAATCATCCCACTCAGGGGTTTGTCAAGCCTGACTTTGAAAACCTCCAAGGAAGGAGATTCCCCCACCTCCCTAGGTAACCCATTCCAGTGCTTCACCACCCTCCTAGTGAAAAAGTTTTTCCTGCTACCACTGAGAACAGTCTAGATCCATCCTCTTTGGAACCCCCTTTCAGGTAGTTGAAAGCAGCTATCAAATCCCACCTCATTCTTCTTTCCCGACCCCAATATGGCGATCAGCTAAACGCTGAGCATATGGGCAAGATTCACCAGCCAGATACCCAGGAAAGAATTTTCTGTAGTAACTCAGATCGCACCCCATCTAACATCCCATCACAGGCCATTGGGCCTATTTACCATGAATAGTTAACATGATTTTGGCAATTAATTGATCTTTATCCCATCATACCATCTCCTCTGTAAACTTATCAAGTCTAGTCTTAAAGCCAGATAGGTCTTTTGCCCCCACTGCTTCCCTTGGAAGGCTATTCCAGAACTTCACTCCTCTGATGGTTAGAAACCTTTGTCTAATTTCAAGTCTAAACTTCCCAATGACCAGTTTATATCCATTTGTTCTTGTGTCCACATTGGTACTGAGCTTAAAGAATTCCTCTCCCTCTCCGGTATTTATCCCTCTAATATATTTATAGAGAGCAATCATATCTCCCCTCAACCTTCTTTTGGTTAGGCTAAACAAGCCAAGCTCCTTGGGTCTCCTTTCATAAGACAGGTTTTCCATTCCTGGGATCATCCTAGTAGCCCTTCTCTGTACCTGTTCCAGTTTGAATTCATCCTTCTTAAACATGGGAGACCAGAACTGCACACAGTATTCTAGATGAGGTCTCACCAGTGCCTCGTATAAAGGTACTAACACCTCCTTATCTCTACTGGAAATACCGCGCCATAAAAAAAAAATTTGCTTGTAGTAGTGCAGTTAATATGTGGGAATAACTTGGTCTTTTCTTTTTTCTGATGTATAGTACTCTTTACTTGTGTAATAGGTTGGCATATTGCCTAGAACTAATTTGGTTGATTATGAGAAACAAGATTGAAAACGTTTAATAAATTTAAAGAAAGAGAAGACCCTTCCGGTCAGCATTCCTAGTGTCACTTGGTTTTAAATGGGAGGGATCTGTATTTTTATTGAACGGAGCGAGAATGGCATTACTGTGCAGTAATTGGGCTCCACATAGGGTATTTGGGTGAAGTTGTAGGGCTTGTGTTATATAGGAGGTCTGATGAGATGATGTAATGGTTGCTTCTGTCATTAAATGCCAGGAAACTCATAAGCTTTTATTGCTTTGTCTCTTTGCACCAGTCTCTTTTTTTATAAATTAATACAATAGGAGGGAAACAGCATTATGTTTGAGCACTTACTCCTAGTCCATCCCACGCTTCCTAATTTACGCGCCCCATTGATCCCAAATTTGGAGAGGTGACATAATGTTTGTTTCTTAATGAAAATTGATTAGTCTTAAGGTTGCTGATTAATGAGGTTAATCCTTGTTTGTTTTCAGAATTAAACTGCTCCAAGAATGAGAAGGAGCTGGAGGAATTGCTCCTAGAAGCAAGTCAAGAGACAGGGCAGAAGCCACTGTGACACTTTAGGTAAGGAAGCTTTGCTAGGTTTGAACGGTATTCCAGTCACTGGCGTAACAGAATCAAGACAGAAGGAGACTAGAGTTTCTGAAAGCTGCTGCTGTTGCTGTGATGAAGAGAACGAAGATTTTTTTCCTCCACCATTTTTTCTACAACATCCTAGTTGCCAGAATAGCTCTGGGTGTGAGACAGGCTGGTGAATCTGTGCTATCTTCATTCAGACACAGTCAAGCATGTCTGTAATAAAAACAAATTCTAGACCGAGGTCAACCTGACTTCACACACCCAAAATATTTTCCCTGTGCAAAAAATAGTATGTGGTGATGTAATTGTATCAGAATGCATACGCATAAGGAGGTGACAGTGTTTGTGTAGCACAGTCGTTCCTTGTGGTATTTCCGAACTTCTGAGGGCCTGACTTTACAACCCGAATATTGTGGTTTCAGTGCAATTTTTTGTGTATAATTTATTTATATCAGTGGTTTTCAACTTCTTTCATCTGTGAACTCCTGAAAAATTTCAAATGGAGGTGTGGACCTTTTTGGAAATCTTAGATATAGTCTGCAGACCCCAGGTTGAAAACCACTGTTCTATGGCATTGACAACCTTTCATGGACCCCTTAGACATAGACTGAAGACCCCCAGGGGTCCGTGGACCACAGGTTGAAAACCACTGATTTTTAGAAATATATATATATATATATAGTATGTTACCATTATCATCCACTCATAAAACTTCTGTAGGTGGAGAAGCTATACAGATCTGTGTGATGCAGAGAGGATACATTACCGGATAGGTGCAGGCCCAAAGAGCTCTCCAATCTGAGTAAACAGTGGTACAGACTGAGTGGAACATCTGTTTCATCTTCATGAGGCTGTGGCCTATCCTGGTCTCGTTCACTGGCATTGTCCAGATGATATGATTTACCCTGGCTGAGCATTAGATCATCTAATCTCACCCCTGTATATCACAGGCCGTTAAATTTAACCCAGATATTTAGCCCAAAGTATTTCAGTCCTCAGGAGACTAAACTGATGTGTGCCACAGGAAGAGAGCAGAAATGATCAAGGTGCCACGAATGCCCAAGGCCCCTGCAATAGCAGGGAGTTGATTAGGTGAGATGTGGTCAGATGATCTCAGCAGGCAATCCACTGCAAAGAAAGGCGAAAAAACCCCAAGAGTCCTGCCAATCTGACCTGGGTCACAGTCTGTTGATCAGTATGACCCTGAGCATGTGAGCAAGGCACCCCAGCCAGGAATCTAGAAGAGAATTATCTGCACCGCCTCAGAGCACTGGTCCATCCCAGCTGGTGTCCCATCTCCAGCCATGGCCAATCTCTGATGTTTCAGAAGAAAGTGGGGAAAAACCCAGCAACCCCTACTGAGAATACATCTCGTCAACTGTGCATTATGGGGAAAAAATGGTGGAGGAATCACAGAAGTGTAGGCATGGAAAGAACCTCCAGATGTCCTCTAGTCCACCCATCTGTGCTGAGGCAAGACCAAGTAAACCTAAGCCATCCCCGACAGATGTTTTGTCTAACCTGTTCTTAAAAGCCTTCAATAACAGGGATTCCACAACCTCCCTTGGTAACCTATTCCAGAACTTCACTATTGTAACATATCTTAACATATATGAATACTGTTATCAGGTCTTACCTCAGCCTTCTTTTCTCTCGACTAAGCATGCCCAGTTCTTCGAGTGATTGTTCATGTCCATCCAATTTAGGTGTGTGCGCTTGCCACATGCACCAGTGCTGGAAGTTTTCCCCTCCGCGGTATCCGTAGGGGACTGGCTCTGGCGCCCCCTGGAGTGGCGTGCACATGCCACGGTATATAGGGCGCCGCCAGTTCCCCCCACCCACCATTCCTTCTTGCCGCCAGTGACCGTGCTGGAACTGTTGCTGCTTCAGTTAGCACTCTAGTTGCTCTTCGTTACAGACTAGTTACCTTCTGTATTGTACTGTATATAGTTTTATAGTGGTGTTGATAAATCCCTTAGCTATAGTTAGAGACTTTGTAGGTCCCAAACGGGACTTTGCCCCAAGCTTTAAGCTCTGTGATCGCTGCAAGAGGCCCATGCCCTTTAGTGATCCACACAGCAGTTGTCTGCGTTGCCCGGGCAAAGGATACGTTAGTGAGAAGGCCAAAAGTTGCAAGTCCTTCAAGCCAAGGACTAAGAAGGAGCGCAGAATTCGTTTAAGACTGCTGCTTATGGAGTCGGTCCTCACTCCGGCACCAGAGCAACACTCCGACTTGGCGCTGAGTACCGTGACCTCAGTGTGCAGCACCCCACCAGGACCATCCACTAGCCGGCACCCATCCCCATCCATGGCTCCAACCAAGAAGGAGGGACGAGGCCAGTCTCCAACCTCCCACAAGGATAAGACTGGGTGTGAGCAAGGTCTCAGGTCAGGCAACTCTTCACCCATGTTAGGATCTGGGCCCAAGCTCCGGGGGAGCGATGTAGCCCAACATGCTCCCCACTGGCTACCCCGGATAGCGGAAGAGACCTCTGTCAGCTTCAGGTGCTGTCCACGCCGGAGGCCCTGCATGTGGTGCAGGAGATCATGTCCCTCCTGGTGCCGCCCACACCGGCTCCAGCAGTTCCCCGGTCACAGGGTAAACCCACGTTCAGACCATTCAGTTCTCACCTCAGCAGCACCGTTCCCCGTCGCAGGTGATGTCCTGCCAGTGCTCGCCGTCCCATAGCCACCACGCATCTGACTGGAATAGGCAGACACAGCGCAGCCCTATTCGGTCCCCGGACCTTGGGTACAGGCAGAGAGGCTCGAGGCGCAGCTTGCCGGCCACTGGGAGCAGAGCTTTGGAGGCACCCTCCCCCCACCCCCAGCAGGAGTAGCAGTCCTGGCACCCGGTATCTCTGAGACCACAGTACCGCTCCAGGGATCCATTGAGAGATCAACGGTACTATTCTTCAAACTGTCACTGATCCCGTAGGAGGGCATCTCCGCATGCAGGTACTTCCCAGCACCGAGCCCGCTCCTGATCCTGGTACTGCTCCTCATGCGCGAGACGTAGATCTCCGGCTCCAAGCCTGGTCACCTGGGAGCAACCATTCAGGATCCAGCCCTGGTTCGGAGCAAGGTTCCCTGACGGTGGGACAAGCTCTGGTATTGGTGGTACGGGTTACATTGTCAGCATCAAAACCAGCCCCGTGGCCTCAGGCACAGTAGCTGATGCCGTGGTACCCACTGAACCTGTGGGGGTTCACACAGCCCTCCCAGGCCGCCCGCTTTGGTGTCCAGAGCCTCGGAGGAGAGACCAGCTGCCTCCCTCTCCCACCCTCCTCCCATGCACGAAGCCTCGGGCTCAAGGACCCCGCAAGTCCAAGAGGGAGCAGGGGAAGAAGTCCCTGGGCCACCAATGGTTGGGGAGGACCCTACGGTACTGGCATCTTTCTCGTCGTCGCCAGATGAGGCTATAGTGGAGCCCCCTCCCCCAGTTTCTCTGAATCTCGCTAATGTGCACCAGGAACTACTGAAAAGGGTCGCTGCCAACCTGGGTCTTCAGGCGGAAGAGCTAGAGGAGCCCTCGGACTCTCTCTTCGATGTCCTCTGCTCCATGGCACTGGCCAGGGTGGCTCTGCCCCTTCATGATGAGGTCTCTAAGATCACTAATGCCCTGTGGCAAACTCCTTCCTCCCTGCCCCCCATCTCCAAGAGGGCTGAGCGCAAGTACTTTGTGCCATCCAAAGGCCACAAGTACTTGTACACCCACCCTGCTCCCAAATCTCTAGTGGTAGAAGTGGTTAACCACAGGGAGCGACAGGGTCAACCCAGGGCTACCCCTAAGAACAGACTCCAAGAAACTAGACTTGTTTGAGCGTAAGGTTTATCCATCCTCTAGCCTCTAGTTGAGGGTGGCGCTGCAAACTGAGGTCACGGTACTCAGCACAGAGTCGGAGCGTTGCTCCGGTGCCGGAGTGAGGACCGACTCCATAAGCAGCACTCTTAAACATCAGGCCATCCTAGGATGCTATGATTTTAACATGTGGCAAGCCATGGGCAAGTTCGAGGGCTCTCTTCTTGAGGCTTCTAGGAAGGCATTCCGGGGCTACTATGGAGGAAGGCACAACTGCAGCCAGGGCGACGCGCCAGGCGGTGGTGGATGTGGCGGACGCTGCCTCCCGAACCATGGCCTTGGCAGTCACCATGCGCTGGGCATCCTGGCTGCTACTCTCTGACTTGTCCACAGAGCAGTTGACGCAAGACCTTCCCTTCGATGGGCAAGCCCTGTTTGCAGAACAGATGGACAATAAGCTCCATGGCCTAAAGCGGTTTAAGCTGCAGCAGCCTTAGGGCCAGGGGAGCCACCCTCACCAGGCGCCTCCCCATAAGAAATCCTGAAACTACAAGTGTCATCCTAGAGAACAGCCTTCACAGGCCTCTCAGTCAAGCTCTACCCACAATAAGCAGGCGGGCAAGTGCTCGTTTTGAGGGTACGCCCGAGGGCAACATACCGGACTGTTCCCAGGATCCTCCTTCCCTTATTTTGGCCAACCGCCTTTCTCCTTTCCTCCCTGCTTGGGCATCTATAACGTCGGACTGATGGGTCCTCAGTTCGGTGGCGCAGGGTTACACCCTTCAGTTGCTTTCTCCCCCTCCTTCCCACCCACCCCACCCCCGTCTCTCTTCAGGGACCCCTCTCATGAGAGTCTCCTCAAGCAGGAGGTAGAGGGGTTACTGCAGCTAGGTACGGTGGAGATCATTCCTCCAGAGTTTAGGAACAAAGTGTTCTATTCCTGCTACTTTTTAGTCCCGAAGGCCAAGGGTGTTCTATGACCTATCCTGAACCTGCGAGACCGGAACCACTTCCTAGCAAAACTAATGTTCCGCATGGTCTCCCTGGCCTCCATCATCCCCTCCCTGGATCTGGGAGACTGATATGTCACCCTCGATCTGAAAGATGCATACTTTCACATCGCCATCTTCGAGGGAAACAGATGCTTTCTCCAGTTTATGGTAGGTCCCAACCACTATCTATT